TTTTATTTTTTTTTATATCCCCGCTTGAAAAGCGGGAGGGTATATAGTAATCAGGATGTCCATCCATCTGTCCGACCTCCCATTTGCCTGTACATTTGTTTGTTCGTTTGTTACGCTTTTGGGTACCCATCTCTTATCCGCAACTTCTCTTATACCACTGAATGAAATATAATGAGACTTTCAAAGAATCTTAATTATTACATATTGCCATTGTGCACCTCCTATTTTACTTTTTGATCCAACACATATTTCGGGTTTCCCATAGCAAAACATGGACAGTGCTATTATATTAGTATGGTTGGCGGGGGTATCATTTAGTGAGTTTATAGCTCACATCAGCACCTCTTGTTTAACATAAGTCTGCACAAAGTGCTTTCTTTTTTCTGGGTGAGGACCTTGGGGTCAGAAAATAGACTTGTCACCAGATTTAAGAGGTGTGCATGCAGTTGTAATATTTCGAAGTCATGTTCTAGATTTTGTTCCACATCTCGTTTTTAGGTCAGATAACAGTGTAAACTCAGTCTAGTCATTTAGAGTGTATGGAATTAATATACTTATTTGTTTGTGCTAATATCCAAAGCACATCAATCTGTAAAATTCAAATAAAAATTTCCTGTCAAGTTCTCTATATATGGAGCCAGATGAATTTTACTTCCAATATAACACATTGGTAAAATTAATAAATGGGAAATTAAATCTTGCTTAGTTTTAAATTAATTGATAAAAAAAGTATTTTGTGGTCTTCTTCAAATGTTTCGAATCTTTGACTTTCTATTTATTTTTTAACAATCACATTCATCAATCATATTTTACTGATTAGCGGGACTAGCTTTAAGTGTAGCCTGCATGTTGTTGTTGATTCAGGGTGACTTACAGACCTGACACTGTGCTTTAATGTTTCCTCATTTGTCAAAGTATGACAGGCCCAGACCCTACACCTAGAAATGATGCAAGTTTGACAGAAAGTTCAGATTACAGTTATACAATCCTTTAATTTGATCTCAATTTTAATTAGCTTTAACATGTTTATTAATTTAGTCATGTAAATGCAATGCAGCTCTTTGACCCTGCACTGCAAAGACAAAAATTTTCAAAGATTAAAAAAATGACTGACTAGAATTTTTCACTTAACCATATTGTAACTCCTGGTGTGACCTCATAGTATGATTTAGGTTACATTAATGATGTAACAGGGGAGGAATTAGACTGTTTACTCTGATATTAACAGAGATGTTCTGAATAATTGTCTTCAGGTATAAATACCAAGCAAATCTGTCAAAAAACAACATAACTATCTAGTTAGACCATAAAAACTTCATCAAAGCTACAAAAACATTCCTCCAGCATGGATTTCCGCAGGTTTAATGTAAGTCCTTCATTTATTTCTTTGTTAACTTAGTATTTATCTTTTCTAATATAATATCTTGTTTTTAAAAAAAATATACATCTGGTTATGTATTTACTGCACAGAATATGGAGCAAAATCCATTTATGGATTAAAGGACGTTTCTCTACATACGTGTCACCAGATTCATCAATTTGGCTCCTTTATTAAGCTTTATTAAGCTCAATTGTGGGTGACATTCATATGAAAACACTGAAGGCGTGTTTTAATCAATTTTTTTGCTTTTCTCAGCTTTTCAGATATTTACCTGATATTTGATTAAGTTCATGAAATGTGTTTAAATCTGATTAGGATGACCTTTGCTCTTCATTATATTCTAATAGCAGGCTAATTTGGATGACATTTACCTTTAGTTAGTGGTACATGTACAGAATGTAAAATTTGTAATAATTTGTAAACGTTTTGTTTTCCCCCATAGGGCCATAATTCTGAGAAATCTCAATTTCTGTACAATGCATATATGGAAAATTTAACACAGACAGAATTCTTATATTGCCTTTATATGCCTTAAATGTTTTCACAGAAAATTTGTGACCACGTTTAATGTCGTTTATAGCATAAATTAATATCATTAGGAAAAGAGAACTTCTACAGTACACCTTCTTAATGTATTGACACTTGTCTCGAGTTTAAAATTGTCAATAATGAAAGAAGAATTGAGTCTGTTAGGGATGATTATCAGGCCAGCTAAGTGAGGGGTCCTAATTGATATGATCATGCCACAAACCATATGATTTTTTTTATGGGGGGGGGGATATTTTATGATAAATTTATTTACTTATATGAATTTGGTCTGGACTGTGAGAGCATTAACGTCTATGTACTAGGATATTTACTAGGATAACCTAATTGATTATCTTATGTTGATAACAATTTATTTTACACATCAGTAGAGCAGGGGGGGATGTATCAAATATTATCTCACACAACTATACCTATATAGGTAACTATAGATATATATACTTAATACTGAGCAAATCAGGACCTTGACCTTTTTTGACCCCCTTATAAATGTCAGTCAAAATCTTGGTATTCACTCCAGAAATTGAAAGTTCTGTGGTCAATCTAGTCATTTCACATTTAGCCCCTTCCCTCAATCCATTATAATTTTTGTTTCACCCATGGGGAATCTCAATTTAAAATTTATACATTGACTGATAAATGATACCAATTTTTTTCAGTGTTAGGTGCAATGCAAATATGCACAGTCTAGATGACTAATTAAGAGTCATCAAAGCGTAACAGGCCATTTCAGTATACTCCTTCTCTCCTATGTATATATAGTACAGAGTATAAACATTTAGCCATGTGTAAATCGAGGTCATAGATCTCCCACAGAACTCTTCGTACCTCCGATTTTTTCTTTCACTTGACAGCTTGTTTAAGTGTGGATGTAAAATTGTATTCGTGGCATTCCTTGAAGTTCATTCAGTGTAGGATAGATCTGTCTGACAATGTCGGAGAAAATTTCTCACAGCGTAAGTCTATCTCAGAAAAAAATCAATACACCTTTATTTCTCACCTTTACAAGTTTTATTAAATTGCTTTTAGGAGTCTGTAGGATTTCTGAGTTTTAACCATTTAATTTTTTACCTATTAATGAGGAAACACTTAAAAATTCACAGAAATAGTTAAACTTAATTTGTTTTTTTTGTACGTTAGAAGGGAAGGCTACAGATGTAGTTTATCTGAAGAACTCAGTAATGTTCGGAATCCATTAAACATTCTTTTTAATGTATAACGTGTGTATTGATTTCAGGGTATTGCTTCACTACAGGAGAAGTTCTAAAGTTCTCTAAGAGACTACCTAGCTAAAGTACACTTTGTAATAAGAGTTCAGTTGAATCCCTCTCTTTACAGCCTCATATGATTAACTTAAGTTTTAATTTAATTGACCTCTTTTAATGTAAGGGGGGTCTACAGGTTTATATGTTTGTTTTTGGAATGTTTTCTTTCCTAATGAAAGGTTGATCATTTCAGTACAGGCTTGGGGTTGGATTTCATCTTTTTTTTACAGTTCACCTTCAGGTCATAAAGTTGTATGATGTATTTAAAGTAAAAAGTGTGGTAGATGAATTAGGATAGAGACTGTGTTTATTTTGTATTGAGCTCAAGCAGGATCAGCATCCAGATCATTTGTTGAGAGTCTGTGTAAATCCACAACCTCTGTAATATCTCTTTAGGACAGTACACTTCAAAAGCTTAAAATATAAAACTCTCCTTGAGAATTATAGTTGAAGGGTATGATTAATTGTGCACTTTACCTTTCAAATTTTAGGTCATACACAGACTCATTCAGACAATACAGAGGCTCAACATGATTAAACAAGATATACTTTCTATTTTAGGCTGTACAGAGGCTATGGGTACATGATTCAACATAATACACTTTCTATTTTAGGCTGTACAGAGGCTTTGAAGGGTACATGATTCAACATGATACACTTTCTATTTTAGGCTCAGAGGCTATGAAGGGTACATGATTCAACAAGATATACTTTCTATTTTAGGCTGTACAGAGGCTATGAAGGGTACATGATTAAACAAGATACACTTTCTATTTTAGGCTGTACAGAGGCTATGAAAGTACATGATTCAACATGATACACTTTCTATTTTAGGCTATACAGAGGCTCTGAAGGGTACATGATTAAACAAGATATACTTTCTATTTTAGGCTGTACAGAGGCTATGAAGGGTACATGATTAAACAAGATACACTTTCTATTTTAGGCTGTACAGAGGCTATGAAAGTACATGATTCAACATGATACACTTTCTATTTTAGGCTATACAGAGGCTATGAAAGTACATGATTCAACATGATACACTTTCTATTTTAGGCTATACAGAGGCTATGAAGGGTACATGATTAAACAAGATACACTTTCTATTCTAGGCTGTACAGAGGCTCTGAAGGGTACATGATTAAACAAGATACACTTTCTATTTTAGGCTGTACAAAGGGCCACAAATGTGGCATTCCAGAAACACCATGTCACGAGGGACAAGCGAGGGAAGGTCCTGGGAGCCAAGAAAGGATTCCGGGGGTGTACAATATGGCTGACAGGTCTGTCGGGGGCAGGGAAGACCACAATTTCGTTTGCCCTGGAGGAGTACCTGGTCAGTCAGGGGATTCCTGCCTACAGTCTGGACGGGGACAACATCAGGACCGGGCTCAACAAGAACCTGGGCTTCACCCCTGAGGATCGCGAGGAAAACATCCGCCGAATCTCTGAGGTCGCCAAACTGTTCGCTGATGGTGGCATCGTGTGTATCACTGCCTTCATCAGCCCCTTTAAAAAGGTAGGTCATCTAGTGTCAAGTGTTAGCACTGGCAGTGGTTTGTACATGTAGTAGATTGTACTTAATCATGTGTTGTCAAGCACTGGTTTATTGAGGACCCATTCAGCATTACTAATACCCGTGGATTGTTTATTAAACAAATAAGTGTAAAGCTGTTCATGAAGGTTTCATTGAGAAAAAATATATTTGTTACCAAATAATTTATTTGATGAATAGGGAAAAAAACTATCTAATACGAGAAGAAGACAAGGAAGATCTTTTGTTTCTTTTGAGGATAATTTAAATTGTTTGTTTTCCAAGAAATAGAGCTACAAGAATAACTTTTATCATGAATGTTTCAAGTGGTTCTTAACATCTAATGGTGAGAAATGATTAATCATATTATGGTATGAGGGTGCTTATAAAATTCTTTGAAGACTATATAGCTTGTGTATCTGTTTACTGGTTTCTTTTTTTTTGAAAAGGGCATTGTAGCATGGGGATTGACTATAACAAGCTGTGGCTTCTAAGTATACATATATTGATGTAATAGTTCAGTTATTTTATAAAGTACATGTAATTACTAATTTAGGGCAGTGAGTCACAGACACCAGATCCTCTACCCTAGTTCAGATACAGCATGTAGACCTGGTAGTGCTGATAATTATACGTTATGGAACTCAGCTGATTTAAAAGTTATCTGTCAAATATTTTCTACTTGTCTTATTATCAAAGCCTAAAATTTTTTAGTTGTCATGCTCAACTTGTTCAAATTGCAGTGTTTTATAGTAAGTGGAATACTAAGGAGGGAGAACACATGGTCACAACTGTTTTAATCGTGTTACCACACAGTTATTGTCAAGCTTAAAAATTTATTTTATACTACAGTGGAGCCTCATTTATCCAGAAGCTTTGGTTCCTAGTCAATTTGTCCGGATATGTGAAGCGTCCGGATACCTGAATCACCAGTTAAACAAAACAATATAACAATTAAAAATTCTGTCCCAATGAAAAAGCGTCCGGATACTGAAGCATCTGGATATCTGGGGTCCGGATATCTGAAGGTCCACTGTAATTGAATGCTTAGATACAGAACCTGTCCTGGTAGCTCAGGATAATAAAAAGAGAAATTCTAATGGAAGTTTGTAAAACAGTTTGATAAAACACATTATCAAAAGAATATCTGATATGTTTTATGACCTACATTTACGAAGGTTGTCCCAGAAAAATTTGAACTTTTTAAATATTTCAAATACAACTGTACTATTCAATCTCAAAATGAACAATTTTTTGCATGCTGTTGGAAAATGACCTTTTTGTTATTTTGACAAAATATTATAGGCCTGTGATGTCATATGCATTTAAAGATGGCATTTAAATGGTGTTAATTATCAGTAGTCAGTGCACAACAATTCTTTGTCTTCTACAAATAGCCTTGTCAATAAAGTTTTGTTATCAGTTATACGGAAAGATGGTGTCACAAACTTTACCTACATAAATGCTCTATAATTTGGTGAACAAGTACTCGTGTTTAAAAATTCATGTATTGGACATCATCAATGACAAATATATGACAATATGTGCCAAAGCACTTTCAACAAGCATTCTGAGAGTATTGCATAAGCAAAACATGTCCCCTACCAGATTCTCTTTTCTCTTTAAGATACAAGCTCATTTGCAACATTAATATAGTGCATCGCAAACCCGTTTGTAATCCCAATTATAAAAAATTAAAAATGCCCTAATTCTGTCAAAAATCAATGACGCCAAATGAAATTCAAACTTGATCTGTAACTCTTCAAGATACACTCACATACCAAAAATCAGCTCAATGTCTTCAAGCATTTAGAAAAAAAAAAGCGGAAAACCAAGTGGGACAGGCTGACAGGGACAGGTTGACAGACAGACAGACTCAGCTGAATCCTACATGTATAGTCCCCTCCGGTTTCACTGGTAGGTGACTAATCAGACATTGTTAAAAATGGTGACATTGAGCGGTAATGTGGAGCACCAAACTATCAAGCAGCACTATGTTGAGCAGGATAGGACTCCTATACATAGGGAAAAGAGATGTTAACGATTTAAAAACACAAACATAATATGGGAAACAGGTTCATATCTAGTTTAAGGTGTGTTAGGTTGACTTTAAGGTGTGTTAGGTTGACTTGACTGGTTTTCCAAAAGAAGAGAATAGACCACTTATTTAGAGAAATATCATGGATTTATAAATTTTCTCAAAATTATCACTGTATGATCATGATGATATTTTAGACTAGCGTTTATCATATTAAAGATGTTTAAGGTATATATGAAGTGCCAAAATATTTCCAATCTATGAGAAATCTTAATGACTTATTTTATAGGATCGTGAGCGTGCCCGAGAACTCCACGAGGCCGCGGGACTGAAGTTTGTGGAGTGTTTTGTAGACACGCCAATCGAGGTCTGTGAACAACGTGATGTGAAGGGATTGTACAAGCGAGCGAGAGCCGGCGAGATCAAAGGTCAAATATATACCTATATACAGCAGTTTATAAAGATTTTAGTTATGTACAAAGCACTAAAAACTTTCAAAAGTCTTACACAGAAAATCTCTCTCTTTCTCTCTCCCTGACATATCTCACTCTGTGTTGTAGGGTTTACCGGAGTAGATCAAGCCTATGAGGGCCCAGATAATCCTGAGGTGGTTCTGAAGGCCGGCAAAGAGACAGTGGATGAGTGTGTACAGAACATTGTGTCTCATCTCGTGGATATAGTGAGTAGTTTATAAAAATCAAAACTCCACATCTTGTGGATATAGTGAGTAGTTTACAAGACTCAAAACTCCACATCTTGTGGATATAGTGAGTAGTTTATAAAAATCAAAACTCCACATCTTGTGGATATAGTGAGTAGTTTACAAGACTCAAAACTCCACATCTTTGGATATAGTGAGTAGTTTATAAAAATCAAAACTCCACATCTTGTGGATATAGTGAGTAGATTATAAAAATCAAAACTCCACATCTTGTGGATATAGTGAGTAGTGTACAAGACTCAAAACTCCAGGTCTAGGTTAGAACCATTGGACGTCAAATGACCTCAGCATCCCTACCCCTAAGCCCCTTACACTGATATCACAGACGGCAAAGATGATGTATTGCTTTAAAACTTTAACGAAATTTTTAAAAGCAATACTGTAAATCACGTTTTATTCGCGAGAACTTAATTTTCGCGCAATTACGCGAGACAATGAGCTTGCGAAAATTTAATTCTCACGTTTAAGAGTATTCCTTAAGATTATATAGAGGAAAAACAACAATTCGTGAAAATTATGTCTCGCTAATAAAGAGTCAATGACTATCTCGCGAAAATAAGGTGTTGCAAAAATTTAGTGATCTACAGTAATTAAAATAATATATTGTACTGTTATTCTAAGACAGATATATTAAAATTTCCTAGCCAATCATGACTGAATTTCATGTCTTTCACTGCCTTATTAAGACAATGAATTTGATTAATTTTGTAGGAGGTGGTACCAACAGGAGCTGTACAGACCGTCAGGGAGTTGTTTGTCCCGGAAAATCGGATCGAGGTCACCAGGGCAGAGGCGGAGCAACTACCAGCCCTCAATATCAACAAGGTAGGGGGGTCAGATCAACAATAATGGAGTCAAATCTACATCAACTAGGACTTAAATTATTAAATGACCCCTTTAATATTCTTTTATGTATTACAGGAGATGCATTGTAGTCTATTGATATTTCATATATACTGTATACTTTACTGTTTCAGCTGGATTTGGAATGGACCCAGGTTCTATCGGAGGGCTGGGCCACCCCCCTTAGTGGCTTTATGAGGGAGAGAGAGTATCTACAGAGTCAACACTTTGGCTGTTTGTTGGATGGTATGTCACAATAAAACCACAAACAAACAATGAGAGTAAAAACTAATTTACAGAGATTTAATGAGAAAGGTCATCTTTCCTGTGAAATTTTTAGGAAGTAATTAATATAAAGTTGATTTAGATTTTATTTAAAGTGTCGGTCAAGAGCATAACTATTGTAAAGTGGTACAGTCCAGAAATTTACTTTAACACTATATTACCATTATCTTCCTGTATTAGGTGGAGTGACCAACCAGTCGATCCCGATCGTTTTGCCTGTGTGTACGGAGGATAAAGAGAAGCTAGACGGATGTGCCGCCTTAACTCTGAAATATGAGGGCAACAGTGTGGCCATCTTGCGTAATCCCGAGTTTTATCCCCACAACAAAGAGGAGCGCTGCTGTAGACAGTTTGGCACCAGTCACAGAGGTCACCCATATGTCAAGGTCAGCTGAAGGTCACTTTATAAAAGTAACTCCATGAAGAGGAAATTTTACAAATTATATTTACTGATTATTAACTGCTTGATGTGTACAGATAATATTTATCTTAATGTCTACCACTTGTTGTGTACAGATAAGTTCCTTATGGTTCCTATTTGTAATTTTTGTATACATGTTGTGTACAGATGATCTATGAGAGTGGAGACTGGCTTGTTGGCGGGGACCTGGCTGTGATAGAGAGAATAAGATGGAATGATGGACTGGACGAATACAGACTCACCCCAATGGAGCTACGCAACAAGTTCAGAGAACTAGGGGTACGTCTTAACTCATAACAGTGTTATACTATTACTTGAAAGAAGTATGAAGCAATTTTTTTTTGAAAGAGTCAGACATGTTGAGCTAAAAAAACATTTTACTTTACAGGCTGATGCAGTATTTGCTTTCCAACTACGCAATCCTATACACAATGGTCACGCCTTACTGATGGCCGACACAAAACGTAGACTGTTAGAGAAAGGGTACAGCAAGCCTGTGCTACTCCTACACCCATTAGGTAAGTCCATATCTATCACTTAACATAGGCTGTTAGAGAAAAGCTCCTACATCCACTGGGTAAGTCCATATTTATCTAGGTAAAGTGATATTACACTGGGTACAGTCATTTCAGTTGTTTTAATAGAGATTTTCAACATTGTAAATAATGTTTATTAGAGCTTTGCTTGAACAAGTCCTATAGAAATCACATTGTCCCTCTCTGATTAAGAGTATCTGTGGTCCATTATTCAGTGTCTTTAAGTCTTTGTGATGCCTTACAGGTGGGTGGACAAAGGATGATGATGCGCCATTACCTACACGCATGAAGCAACACAAAGCTATACTAGACGAGAAAGTCCTAGATCCAGACTCTACAGTCCTAGCCATCTTCCCATCTCCAATGATGTACGCAGGGCCAACAGAGGTACATAAAATACACTGAAATTATCAGAATCTGTGAATATTTGAGCCTACAGGCACTTGTATGAATATGAAGTTCTTGAGGTATTTAGAAGTACAGCAGTACTTCTAATGATTGAAGTTATAGAACTTACCAAATTTGATCAAAGTTCTGATTTTTTGACCAGGTACAGTGGCATGCTAAAGCCAGGATGTCAACTGGGGCTAACTTCTACATAGTGGGGCGTGACCCTGCTGGCATGCCTCACCCTGATGGTACAAGAGATCTATTTGATCATACACATGGGGCAAAGGTGAGATTAATTAAAAGTCAAATTTTGTTAATCCCTGTTTCAATATACATATATGATTTACCAGTTTTTCTCTGAAAACCTCAACTTCACTGATTATTTTTCATGATTTAGGAAACATTTAATTTAATACCTAATAAAAATGATGCTTTTCAGTGAGAAATATTTGCAAGAAAAAGAAAGTTACAAAACTCAATGTATTTTCAAACACAAATAAAAGTTGATTTACAGTATACTTTAGAAGTACTTTTTTCCGTGTGGTATTAATTTACGCTATGTATGTGGTCATACATTTTCTGCGGAAATTTGTCCAAGCGTACTTAATATAAATGTAAGGCATATAGGGACAATCTAGAAAATCCGCGTAATTTTCTACCCGCGAATGTAACAGAAATTGAGATTCCATGGAATTATAACCCTGTGGAAAAAAGTACGTCTACAGTATATATGCAGCTACTATATTTTCTAAGAAACTTGTGTTCAGTTACATGGAATAGGATTTTTTTTCCGGCCTTTCCCCAAATACCTTTTAGTTTTTTACTATAAACTACTGGATGTCAGTTAACAGATTTTTCTTATTTTCTTCACAGGTTTTGACGATGGCACCAGGGTTAACACAATTAGAAATTGTTCCCTTCAGAGTGGCAGCATATAACACTAAACTAAAACAGATGGATTTCTTTAACCCAGAACGTAAGGAGGACTATGATTTTATATCGGGGACTCGTATGAGAAAGCTGGCTAGGGAAGGCCAGAACCCTCCCGACGGATTCATGGCTGCTAAGGCCTGGAAAGTCCTGGCCGAGTATTATCAGTCTGTTAAAGAATAACAGGAAGTGACATCATCCCACAACAGGAAGTAGGGACCACTAATTGTAATTTTAGTCGTTTCTTCCTGCAGGGACCAATGTCTTTATAAATAATTATTTTTTTTGTTGAATTTATTATATATTTTTTATTTATTTATATTTTATGAGCAAATTATTTGAATTTACATTATCTTTCTTATACCAAAAAATATATTATTATGAAAAATATTAATTTTTAAAAAAAAATCACTTTTATGATAAATTTTACTTTTTTCCTTTACTGAATGTTGGATAGTTATTACTGTTATTCAATGGTTATTAATTGTAAGCAAATATTATTTAGTAGCATTGATAAATTTATTTTTTAGGTATAAAATATACATATTTAACATGTTTAATGACACTGCATGTGGCTACTGCATACATAAGGTTGAATGGGATTGGGTTGATTTAAAAACTTTTTTTGTACATGGGCTTTTTAGGAATTTTTTTAGACTTGTCATTTTTCAGTGTGGGAAACATCATACATGCCTAGGTTGTAAATTGTATGATTTATAAGTGTTTTGCCTTTTTTGTCTGATATATAATACCTGAGTATTATTATGATTATACTGAATACCTGACCAATGTCTGTGTTTTGTGTTATGTACAGTATTTGACCTTGTTTACCAGGTAATTTTTATTGTTTACTACACCGGATCTACGGCTGCTGTTTAACTGTATACTGGGAGAGATAAGTGTTACAAACATATATAAAGATTATATAAACCAGAGGGATCAATAAAGTACTTAAATTAATTATTGTCTTGTCTTTTGATTATTAATTGCAAAGATTAAAATAGAAAAATGTATTCTTTTCTTTTTATTATAGTTGAATATAGTGAATCATCACAGAAATGTTTATTTTGTCGTCTTTTTGAAGATGTCGTACGTACATAAACAGAAGTATTTCTTAACAAAAACAAATGGCATATTGGACTAAACACCATGACAAAGAATGCATAAAAGTTGTGCCAGGGGGATGAAATCAAACCCCCACAACTCAATTTGTAAGCATCTAAACACTAGGTTCCAGTGAGCTGCCAACGGGTAAAACAATAGTGTAACAATGGTAGATATGGAACTTTATTTTAAGAATGGAGTTGGTGCAATCTTTTGAACTTTCTCTTTCTATAAATTTTGTCTTTTACTGGGCCCAAAATTGGAATTAATAACCACATCTCATCTTATAGATTATAAATGGTAACATGTGAAAATAAACACATTATTATATTTCATTTATTCTACCCATTTTGAGATTCCATTGACAAATGTCCTGTATTCTCATATGTATAGCTATTTGTATTTTGTTGTGTGGTTCTTGTCTGAGAGATTGTTGGTATGAGTATAGAGCAGACTGGAGATTTCCTGTTGACAGATCCCCAGAATCTGCCATATTATATATTATTCATATAAATAAGTTTACAAACAACAATTGACTGAAATAAAGTCTGTACAACAATATAATAATTCTGATAATTGTAGCTGTGTTTATATTACTGTAGTGTTCTTGTCTGAGAGATTGTCTGTATGAGTATAGAGCAGCCTGGAGGTTCCCTGTCACCTGTTGACAGATCCCCAGAATCTGCCATGATATGTCCCTGAGACGTATATCTAGAATATAGCTGTGATCATAGTGAACTAGGGTCTGTAGTTCATGAAGAGCTATTTGAACTCTTTCTGTGTCAACATGTCGGTAGCACAAGATCTCTAGCATGTGTAACAGTATAAAGGGTGGGATAGCTAAAAACTGCAATTTCTTCTGTAGACTAGACCATTGTTCTGGTATCAACTCACTGATGTAATGGATTTTACTATAAAGGTTGATATCCCATGCAAAAGCATGCCTCATCTTTGTGGGCCAGGACTGTCCCCCTATAGCATCTGTATACATCTCTACACCTAAATTCCTACACATCACATATGGCTGTGCTAATTTGATCTTCATTATCTTAATAACAGATAAAGCTTCCATGTATCTAAGTTTCTTGTAATAATACATGGCTATGTACATCATATCACTAATAAAACCAAACTTGGAAGCTAGTTTCAGCATGTGAATGGAGATTTTGTCAGCATTATACCTCAATTTATTTTTCTGTGTACAGGTTTTGATGTGTAATTTGAAAGCAAGATTCTGAAGGACAGAAGCTGTAAGTTTCTGTAACATAAGAATGCTGTACTGTGTGGGGAAGGGTGACCCTATATACGCGCCTATCATCTGTTCTATTGAATGTAGACAGGTGATGAAATTTTGTAGATTTAATGAGTGGAGTGTGTCCCTGTCATGTATTTCTTTAAATAAGCATACATCAAATTCAGCTTCAGAAGTCAGACTTTGTTCATCTGTACAAATGATGAGTCTCGGGTTTTGAAGGACTTCTTCTATATCTGACTTAATGGAGGGACTGTGTAGCAGGAATGCTAAACCCTTCTCATACAATCTATACAGTCTAATAAATAGTTGATGTTGTTTGTCGCCATGAATTTTACTCAGAAACATGTTGTTGTCTGGAATGAAAAAGTTAGGACAGATCCCCTCATACACCCATTTGAGGATGAGTTTAAAACAGACCCAGAAACACTCCAGGAGATTTTGTGGACACCATTGAGGTATTATATTTTGTTGAATAACCCAGAAAACTGCTGTCTTCATGTGATAGGAACACAGTAATTTATCATCATCACCTACTCCATTGTTAATTATTTCTGTTAAGAACAATTTAAATAAGCCATAGGTTAAGAATTGACAGTGATTCATTGCATACACTAGTTTTTGTTCTGCCAGAGAGAAAGAAATTCTCCATTCATGGTCTTCATGACTTCCTAGCTTATGTCCAATTGCTACAAAGTGACATCCATTTTTTACTATATCATCAACAACATGAGGCTCGGGCCATGAGTGACATCTGTCTATCCATGAGGAGGCAGATGGAGGCCAAAAGGCACTGACAAAACAGTTGGCATAATCATACTCTGTTGTTCCAAACATTCCACTGGCACAGGGTCCATGTTGGGATGTGTTAAGTGGAAATGCAGAACACGTGATTTGTCTGTATTGAGAACTAGAAATATAATATTTATAATTCATTTTAACACTTGGTGACAGTAGATATAACAAAGTAAATCCTGGTGGACTATCAGAACGGTCACAGAGGATCAGTGTCTGTCTGTTTGTGTTGTAATACTGAGACTGTGATAATTCCCAGATCACACGATGATTATTTGGCCATATCATAATGTCCATATCTGATTCTTTCAGTCTAAATCCTTCTCTGCGACTTCCACTTAACATACTGCACTCTCCACTTATTATTTGATGTTGTATCATTCCACTGACGTCCATAAGATCTCTCCTCATGGCCACATGTTGTGAGGTCCCCACTTTACGACACAATCCTACAAACACTGACTTTGATATATTCTGAATGGCTGTCATACTGGAAATAACGAAAGGCAAATTCAATATAAATCTAATACAGTTTGTCACTTTAGTAATTAAAGTAAAATTATCATAGATAAATCTATTTATATTTTCTCCAATATGCAGTGTAATTTCATCTTATTAATAAAAAGAATTATTTACATCAACCATTTGTTTTCAACTTAATATCATTCAAATTTCGAAGAATAAAAAAAAGAAGATTAAACAAATGAAAACTTAACAAAGTTGTCAAGTAATATGTCCATATATTTCATTTCACACTAAAATATCTAGAAATTTTCCGCTTGCCTGATCATGACAAGAAGTATAAGGTCAGAGGGGATGCTCCCTCCCCCATGGCACCTGATCCCACCTCTGTTATTTTTAGAGTCCCCGTTTATGTAAATTTCAAAAGTACTTTTGAGCTTCGTTATCTTCTTAAAGTTAAATGCAATCATTCGAATTACCAGAGTTGTTACAAAAGTTGTTATCTTTAACACTGTATCGTTCATTCCGATACATTATACAGGGGTAATTTTAGAACATTAAGTAAAAAACAATAGACCACCATATTGGTTTCATTTCTAAATATATAACAAACAGAACTGTAACAAAATACATGTATATATTTAAGAATACTTTAAAATGACAAAACAGCATTTTCCAAAACATTTTGAAAGACTTTCTAAGTTAGAAATTATCAACAAAATCTAAAACTTACATTTCTGAAGTTCTAATGGAATCCATTTTGAGCAAACTTAAGGTAGAGAGAGTATCAAGTTAATGCGCCAGCTGCATCAAATCAAAGTATAAACAAAAATCAATTTATACAGGGAAATGTTCGTCAATTGATTGATGTAGGAAGTATAGTTACATTATTGTTTGAGTGTTTTAATTTTTTTAGATTTTGTTTTAAGTGTCTATTGCCATTATGTACGAGTTTTTCGTCGTAGTTTATGAAATTAGAAGATAACGAACAGTTACTAGTATAAATGTCAAATTGAAATAAATTAAAACAATACAAATTTGAAACTGAGAAAAACAAGGATCACTAAAACATCAGAGATGGGATCACGTGCCGTGGAGGAGAAAGCTTCCCTACCAAACAATCACACCCGTCGTATGCATGTTGCCATGATCGGAGGAATGGGAATTAAGTATAAAACAATGCATGGCGTAAAAGTTTGAATGAAAAACAGTAAGTCAACATTTGACTTAATGATAGATTGTGTTTACTAACAATACTTATTGATTTTAAAACTTGTATTCAGAGCATGATCTTGAATAGCGAATTAGTTGGAAGACATACTAGTATACATGTACAACATATGTAGATGATATCGGAATATTGTACTAAATAAATAAGGAAAGTTGGCGTTAGAAAAGTTAAAGTCATGATCTTGAGTAGGGAATTAGTTGGGAGACATATACATGTACAACATATGTAGATGATAGCGGAATATTGTACCACATAAATATAAGGAAAGTTGACGTTAGAAAAGTTAAAGGCATCTCGCTTGTCATACAATTTAGTTTTTAGTTGGCCTTTGTCGTCTGTAGTCAGTAAAACATCCAAATATGAAGCCGATATGGAAGAATCAGTGGTGTCTTTTAATTCAAGTCTACTGGGGAGTTGACATATAATGCAAACTATTGCTAATTGATAAATAAATCATCGATATATCTGACTGTTTGGTTGAAGGCCATGACATGTGTTTTCTTCTTCTGATGTAGAAGTTTTTGAATAAATTCTGCTTCATACGAATGTAAAAACAGGTCGGCAAATAAGGGAGCACAATTAGCTCGCATTGGAATTCCAACAGTTTGTAGTTTCCGGATACGAGGTTGAGTTTATAGTATAGAGGGGATACTTATCTTTTCATTATTTACAGAATTACACGGGGGTGCCTATGGTTTTCACGATGGCACCAGGGTTAATGCAGTTAGAAATTGTTCCCTTCAGAGTGGCAGCATATAACACTAAACTAAAACAGATGGATTTCTTTAACCCTGAACGTAAGGAGGACTATGATTTTATATCGGGAACTCGTATGAGAAAGCTTGCCAGGGAAGGCCAGGACCCTCCCGATGGATTCATGGCGCCTAAGGCCTGGAAAGTCCTGGCCGAGTATTACCTGTCTGTTAAAGAATAACAGGAAGTGACATCATCCCACAACAGGAAGTAGGGGACCTCCTCCATCTATAAACCACAAAGTGTAATTTTAGTCGTCTCTTCCTGCAGGGACCAATGTCTTTATAAATAATTTCTTTTTTGTTGAATATATTTTATATCTTTATATGTTTATATTTTTGAGCAAATTGTATAAATTGACATTATTTTTCTTCTACCGTGATAGATATTCTTATGAAAAATATTAATTTAAAAAAAATCACTTTTATATAAAACGTTTTCCCTCCACTAAAGGTTGAAATTACTGTTATTCAGTGGTTGTTAATTATAAGCAAATATTATTTAATTTCATTGATAAATTTATTTTTTATGTATTTACATATTTAACATGCTTAATGACATTTCATGTGGCTATTGTATGCACAAGGTGGATTTGGATTGGGTTGCCTAAAAAACTGTTTTTGTATGTGGGAATTTATAGGTTTTATTTTTTATAGACTTGCTAATATTTTTCAGTATGGGTAACATCGTACATACCTAGGTCGTAAATTGTATAATTTATAGATGTTTTGCCTTTATGTCTGATATATCTTACCTGAGTATTATTATGATTATACTGTACACCTGACCATGGTCTATGTTTTGTTTTATATACAGTATTTGACCTTGTTTACCAGGTAAGTTTTATTGTTTACTACACCTGATCTACCGCTGCTGTTTACCTGTATACTCCTGCGGGGAGAGACAAGTGTTACAAACAAATATAAAGATTATATAAAACCAGAGGGATCAATAAAGTACTTAAATTAAATCTCGTCTTGTCTTTTGATTATTAATTGCAAAGATTAAAATAGAAAAATGCATTTTTTTTTCCATTTTATTATAGTAGATTACAATGAATCATTACAGAAAATGTCTATTTTTTTTCATTTTTTCATCTGTTTGAAGATATCTGACATAAACAGAAGTATTTCTTAACAAAAACAAATGGCATATTGGACTAAACACCATGACTAAGAATGCATAAAAGTTGTGCCAGGGGGAAGAATCAAACCCCCATCACTCAATTTATAAGCTGCGTCTACACACTAGGTTCCAGTGACCTATCAACAGGGGTAAAACAATTGTATAACATTAGTAGATATGGAACTTTATTTTAAGAATGGAGTTGGTGCAATTTTTTGTACTTTCTCTTTCTATAAATTATTTATTTATTCCACATTTAGAGATTCCATTGACAAATTTCCCGTATTCTCATTTGTGTAGCTATTTGTATTTTGTGGTGTGGTTCTTGTCTGAGAGGTTGTTGGAATGAGTATAAAGCAGACTGGAGATTTCCTGTCTGACAGATCCACAGAATCTGCCATATTATATATTATTCATATAAATAAGTTTACAAACAACAATTAACTGAAATAAAGTCTGTACAACAATATAATAATTCTGATAATTGTAGCTGTGTTTATATTACTGTAGTGTTCTTGTCTATGAGATTGTCGGTATGAGTATAGAGCAGCCTGGAGGTTCCCTGTCACCTGTTGACAGATCCCCAGAATCTGCCATGATATGTCTCTGAGACGTGTATCTAAAATATGGCTGTGATCATAGTGAACTAGGGTCTGTAGATCATCTAGAGCTGTTTGTGCTTGCATTGTGTCTACAGATCTGCAGCACAAGATCTCTAGCATGTGTAACATTATAAAGGGTGGGATAGCTAAAAACTGCAATTTCATCTGTAGACTAGACCATTGTTCTGGTATCAACTCGCTGATGTAATTGATTTTATTAAAAAGGTTGATATTCCATGCTACAGCCTGTCTGATCTTTGTAGACCAAGACTGTCCCCCTACAGCCTCAATATACATCTCTACATCTAGATTCCTACACATCACATAAGGCTGTGTCAACTTGTCCTTGATCTTCTGAATAATAGATAAAGCTTTTATGTATCTAAGTGTCATGTAATAATACATGGCTAGGTACATCATATCACTAATAAAACCAAACTTGGAAGCTAGTTTTAGTATGGAAACGGAGATTTTGTCAGCATTATACCTCAATTTGTTTTTCTGTGTACAGGTTTCGATGTGTAATTTGAAAGCAAGGCTCTGAAAGACAGAAGCTGTAAGTTTCTGTAGCATAAGAATGCTGTACTGTGAGGGGAAGGGTGACTCTATCATCTGTTCTAAAACTTCTAATGAATGTAGACAGGCGATGCATTTTTGTGGATTTAATGTTTGGATTGTTTCCCTGTCATGTATTTCTTTAAATAAGTATACATCAAATTCAGCTTCAGAAATAAGACTTGGTTCATCTGTACAGATGATGATTTTCGGGTTTTGAAGGACTTCTTCTATATCTGACTTAATGGAGGGACTTTGTAGCAGGAATGCTAAACCCTTCTCATACAATCTATACAGTCTAATAAATAGTTGATGTTGTTTTCCGCCATGAATTTTGCTCAGAAACATGTTGTTGTCTGGAATGAAAAAGTTAGGACAGACCCCCTCATACACCCATTTGAGGATGAGTTTAAAACAGACCCAGAAACACTCCAGGAGATTTTGTGGAGACCAGTGAGGTATTGCATTTTGTTGAATCACCCAGAAAACTGCTGTCTTCATGTGATAGGAAGACAGCAATTTATCATCATTACCTACTCCATTGTTAATTATTTCTGTTAAGAACAATTTAAGTAAGCCATAGGTTAAGAATTGACAATGATTCATTGCATACACAAGTTTTTGTTCTGCCAGAGAGAAAGAAATTCTCCATTCGTGGTCTTCATGATGTCCTAGCTTATGTCCAATTGCTACAAAGTGACATCCATTTTTCACTACTTCATCAACAACATGACGATGGGGCCATTAGTGACATCTGTTTA